AGCATACATATCCTTATCTACGAGCGAGAGGTATTACTTAAACCATATTAAACTGTGTTGGCGTAAGAGCAGATACAGTTGTCTAAACTAGGGACAGTGGTGTTAATACTTGATGGCAAATAATGCGATTTTAAATCAATCTCATTGCTTTTAACTGATGCATTCTCTATGATCCGTTTTGCCTTACTATTGAAGTTATTATTGGATTGAAATCTACTGAAATGTCTAAATTAAATTACTTGAGTTCAATAAAAGTTGACATCAATAATTGGTACTTATATTATACACACAGATCTATTTAAAAATAGACAACATGCAAACTTGTAATATATTTCTAGTAGCGATTTGAGCAAAATTTAATACCGAAAATGATACGGAGTTAATTTAAACGTGAGAATGTGAATATAAAAAGCATTTTCGCTTTGTAACAAAAGTGTTTTAAGTACCCGAGAACGCTAAACTAGGTCAAGATTTTAGATCTTGCCATTTTTTCCTAAAAACTGTTGCTGAATTGTCCCCGTTTAACTCCTGCAACACTTTTAAAAACCCTTATGGTCGTTCCTGCGCTTTAACTGACGTCAGTAGCCTCGGACGATGAAAAATTGTAGATTATTAGAATCTCGCTCCATCTATCAAGTACCTATTTCTTAAACCTAACATCGAAACGATCGACGATCGATATCACTGATGGTTACGCGAGCATTTCAATATCGATAGAAAAGTAAAGTTTAACTACTTCACGTTTCGTTTGTGTCAACGAATATACTCGAATGAGAAATTTAAATATAAAGTTATGGTTATATATGTATACATATAATCATATTGGAAGAATCAAATTATGAACAGTCCGTTATGTTGTTTTTTTCTTTCTATTTGTTGAATTAATATTTAAATCTGAATTTTCATTTCCAATTTGCTGCCATTTCATAAAAGGCAATTCGTTTGCTACTTAATGAAGCTTTCTCAAAGTCAAAGAGTCCCTTTATTCAGCTTATAATTCTAAAAAAGCTTTTATGAACGTCAAAGAAATCAGCCATCGGTTCGGAAAATGGGATCTCTATGCAGAGAGTGGGATAAAATCCTTCTATTTGTCTTTTTAACCTTGCACGTTGGTTTATTTCGTTATTAATAGCTACAATAAGAAGCAGTAATTTTAAAAGATATTTCTAATCAAAATTTACGTTTTAAAACTATAACTAGAGTTGAACTGAAACTAGAGATTAAAAAAAGGATAGTAATTCTTTAGAAAAGTATTTCAAAGTTCAGAAAAGATGTGAAGGAAAACAATATTGAATAATTATCTAACATGCAATCTGAACTTCTACTTATGATGAAAAATTTCTATTGCCTATTTTTATTTTTAATAACTGAGTTTGCGTCTCGGCTTTATAATTGCATAAGGCCATTTATTTAGCGAAACACAAAATTAAAATGTTTAAACTATGCTACATATATGTTATAATCTGTAGAAAAAAGGAAAGAAAGTTTTTTGCCCCAGTGGGAATCAAACGTCGTCACACAACGTGTTTCATCACAGATTAGCGCTATAAAATTTTTAATATGTATAGATAGAGGAGAAATATACATAGATAATGAAATGTGTGAAATAGGTTTAAAGAAAAATTTAGATTTTATTCTGATTGCAAAATACATAAATAAGGGCTTAAAAAATCTTAACTGTTTATAAGCAGTATTAATATACATTGATGCGTATTTTGGTATTATAACATATATAAACGTTACTTACAAGACTATTTATGCGACCTTTAAAGTTTTGTAATCATTAAAAATTTATTTACAGAATCTTTCGTTCGTCCATTAAAATACTACATAAATTAATAATTTCAAGTTAGTAGATCGTTTTAAGGAAAACTTTCTTCTTAAACTTTTTGAAGTAGTTATTTAGACTGCAAGAATTTAAATACCCAGGTTGACGGGAAATAAAATTTATACAGAAAATAGTCTACTTATTGCTCGGGTGTAAAAGCAATAAAATTTTACGAGAGTTTGTCAAATTCGCAATAAAGAACGTAGAGGTGAGTTGATTGAGTAGGTACTAGAAAACGTCGATAAACTTTTGTTAAAACGAGTATTCTGAAAAACTGTTTCGTTGAAAGACACAAACTGTTTTTGTTTTAAATATAAGTGCGAATTTATTTTCGCTCGTACTTAAGAGTATAAGCTTAATTAAATGAACGTCTCATTTTTTTATGTTTAAAGTTTGTAAGTGTGCAGGCTGGTTTTAATTGGTTAGAACTGCCTGAGTTTGCAGATACACCCATCTTTAGAGTGGGCCTGGTTATCATATTCACTGAAGGAAATGCAAAAGTACAAATACTCCAATTTTCTCTAATCCAATGAGGCTTGGGGCCTCAGAGGGGACTATAAAAAGTGAGTGTAGAAAGAAAAAAAAAGACATGAAAAAATATATAATATAACTAAATTGGAATCTACCTTTACATAGTTATAATTGCAGACTTATACAGATGTAAATAATATAAAAAACAAGAAAATTGAGTTGCCGATTGGGAACATGATATAGTTTTTAAAAACTGTATGGGTACTTAATCTTTTCGTACTTTTTCTACATGTTTTAATGTTCAATCTTAAGTGCAGAGATTAGCACTATAAAAAACCTTAATATTTATATGGGTACTGTTTTATGGAGCATCTATATTATTTCGCGTTATATTTTTAATTAACCTTACAGATGATCACAAATCAGAATAGTTATACCTACGAATATTTAGGTGGCGTGCTAGAGAATTTAACCCCTTGAGTATGTCTTAACTGAGCTGCTTCGTACAACGTTATGCTACGTCGTAGCACTGCTACGAGCCAGTTTAAGCGATATATGCGCTAATGTACTTACTGAAATTCCTCAAGTAAGTTATTACGAATGTTTTATTTACAACGTACCTAATTACTCAAGGTCTTAAATACAATAATTTACAAAAGTACACTTTATAATTGTGTAATAATCGAGACGAAGATTAGTGATGAATAAGTACTCATCACTATTCTTCGTCTTCGTACTAAGTGAAAATCTTTTTCAAATATTGTGAGATCTATATTCGTCATTGAACACGATGGTGTCCATTTTGTGATTGATTTCCTTTCCTTGTTCAATACGTACGCTTCCCTTGGGACGAATTAAGACAACCGTTTTTCTCACATCAGAAGCTAAAAGTAGAGTGAAATAAATTAACGGCTTTGCCACGGTAACAAACGCGAACTGACTTTATCTGATTCTAACAATAATATCTTTTTACAGTAGCGAAATGTGAATTTAACTAATAGTTTATTGATGCAAAATAAGGAGCGCGTTAATCGCTATGATTAAGATAAATACTTTGTGTTCATTAATAAATAGATTAGTTCAAAATAAATAGAGAGAAAAGATTAAAAAAATAAATGAATTGAGAATAGTGTGTGACTTTCTGGGCTAAAAACAATATATGTTTTTGTATTAAAGTATACAAAACATTTATTATGTAATAAATTGTTTATATTATGTAGTTCTCCTTGATATGTATATTTACATTTACATATCTCACGGGGAATGGCGAGGTAGTTGGGGTGTTCCGAAATTAAGTGCTCTTAACTTCTCTGAATTCCCACCTTATGTAAAGGAAGGAGAGAAGGGTTAGTTTCATAATATCTTATCTTTAATGTTTATCTTTTTTCTTACTTTACACAAAGGTGATTAAATTACCACATACATGTAAAAGTACATGCTTACCCTCCCCTCTATAATTATAAAGGTTACGTTAGGAGCGTGAAACAATTCCAGTTCATTTCGTCAACAGTTGTATGTCAAAACTAACTAATAATAAATTCAAAGAAAGATTTAATAAGAATAACGTCCCACAATAATATCTACAACAGTGTGAAATCTCTCTCAAAATGGCCGTCCCATTTCCCTCACGGAACGAAATGAGCTGTTTAATGCTGGTTGTCAATTCACTAGATATCGTTTTGTTTGAAGCGTACTTCGGGGAAGTGAAATATTTGATTTCGTGCATGATGTTGTAACTGACGCAGATATACTTTACCCAAACAAAATGTTCTGTCTTAAAAAAATAAAGCGATAATATTATAAATCAGAATATGCCTTGTAGCATTGCAGCATTTCAAATTATTCCAATTTATAAGAAAATGTCAATGCATTTGAGAAGGTTTATAAGTTGAACTAATACTTTTTATTTCATGAAACCATATTTTCTAACTTCCGAAAAATCATATTTTCTAACCCTCAAATCTGGGTCTCGAGACGGTTTTAGCGAATTCTGATGGTGATGATGGTAGAACGGTCTTCGAACAGTATAAGTATAACACTTGTAGGGGTGACACTGCTCTAGCAGTGAAATTGTTGTCCAGTCTCGCCCAGTCAGTAACGCATGCGATTTTTATTTAGTTTTAGAATTATAAAATTGGAAAAAGTTCTTGATATTTTGTTCTAATGGATTGAAAATGTTTTTGATCGTTATGAAACGTGATATGTGAGTTAAACGCATACCAGTTTCAACCACACCTGATAGTAAGTGATCACCTTCGCCAGAGAACTTTCACAACATCGCGCCGGGGAAGCTGTACAAGCGTTGACGGCTTATAAGATTGGATTAGAATATGGAGAATCGCTTTCTTTATTAACGTAATAGCTTTTACCCAAGACAATATTCTTCGAAATAAGAAGAGATTATTTTAAAGTGAAAAAGGTGTCATGTATGCTTATACATCTTTTAAGATATTAGTCTATATTTTAACCGTTCCTTTGTGATTATATTTGTCACAGCAATTATGTGCAAATCTGAGAGTAAAAAGAATTCTGTAGGGAGTGATAAATTATTTGTTATTATACTATATAAATGTATATGGGTCTGCGACTCGTAAACACTTACCACCAGGTGGCCCCCCTGCTCCTTTTCCATAAAAATGTGCTATTTATGTTTACTAAATTACTTTACTAGATAAATGAACATAGTGAATAAGCGGCGAAAATGGTGCAAAAGATGTACTTAGATGAAGCTTGTAGGTAGAGAGAATTCAATATTATTTCTGTTAAATAAAAGCTCTAAATAAACTGGTTTGAAATGCCGCAGTGGAGGTGTTTTTGCTCCGTTCGCGTCATCTGCCGCTTTCCCAGGGATATCAATTTGCACCATTTTAATCGTTTTCGATCAGCGTTGAACAATTTTATAAGGCATAAAGAATTTTAATTGCTTAAAAGTTTAAAGGCTAATATAACGAGATCTCTATTTTCATATTTTTTTTGAAATTAGGACAGAGTATAACACTAACGTTTCTTTGAATGCAAGACATAAAAAAGTGATTGCATATTCAATCGCTTCGAATTCTGAATTCGATTGCTTCTGTATATACAATATAGTAGATACAATAGTATGAACTTTGTGAAATGATATTTCATTTGTAACCGTTTTGCGGCAATTGTTCCCGTGAATGTTACAATCCAAGATGTTTTCTATTCGCATTGTTGTTTATATCATCTGTACAAATAAAAGCGTAAACATGGACAAAGGCGTAGTATCCGCCTTTTGTTGTTCAACAAAACAACGACGGTCGGGTATCCGTTACAGTAATCACACTTACACCGGCGCGCGCTACCTCCCGAGGTCGGGTTCGACAGCACCGCGACCGCGGCGCGGTCTAGGCTCCGAAAGCTCCGCGTCGCGGACGATCGAACCGTGAAATGCCCTGTGAAAGTCTAAAATCCTTTTTAACCTCGTCACTGTGTTAGAGGGAGAAGCGTGGCGGGTTTGTTCACCTCGCTCGGGCGAGCTCGGGCGTGCTCGGGCGGGCTCGGGGGGCTGCGGCGCAGGGCGCGCGCGCGTGCCCGGCCGCTTCGCCATTGCGACGGGGGTTGTCGTGTGTCGGCGCTGGCCCGTGCGAGCGCTCGTCCCGCGCCGCGACCTGAACGTGCGAGCACCCGTGCCGGATACACACACCGCCGCGCACACACGCCCTCGCCGAGCCCCGGGAGTGCAAGCCCCACCAGCCCGCCGCCTACCGGTGCCCGGACGCGCAGTGCATGTGCCCCCACCGCTCGTGGCTCAGTGAAACGATCCCCGGGACCGGCGATCGTGGCGCGATGTAAAGGAGCCGCGACCGTGAACTCATGTGTAAGTCGGTGCGTTGTGTACCAATACCCGCAAAATGTCAATGCGCGCTACGGTTGTAAATTTTTTGTGTGTTATACCGTCCGCGCTGTCGGATTTGGAGAGGACGTGGTTTTTCGAACTTTTGTACGTGTTGTAACCTTTGCACCGGCGGGTACTAGTCGAGCACGTGTGCTCTTGTCTATGATGGATTTAGTACGCCGGGTTTCATTTTGTTTCTTTATTGGAACGTCAATATTTGTTCTTTTTATTTATCAAATGATTTATTACCTCTTGTTACTTTATCACGGGAGCCGTAGAGCGTTATAGCACTTATTGGCAATGTAACAGGTGGCGTCGATTTTATGTCATTGGAGCTAGACTATGAAGTAACATGTTTTATGGCGTATTTAAACATTTTATTGATATCAGTAATTGATATGTGTTTGTGTTTTTACACGAGCAAGTGTATCATGTTATCTTCGTGAAACATTACAGGTAGATCAAAAACAAATTTTATTTCATTATATCGCTCTATCGTTGTGCTGAATGTGATTTTTTTTGGAATACACATATTATGAACATACATAAATATATATGTATAATGTAAATGTCTCGCACACATGAAAAGTTCAGTTTCATTCTGTGTGTCCAGTATAAGAAAAATAAACAGTAGGTATGTGAGAACAATAATTTATAAAAGTGAACTGAAATTTTAAATTAACGGAACAATGTTACCTTGCTCTAAAATGTTAAGAAAAGAAGTTAATTTTAAACGCAGCCCTCGAAATATTTTATACGAGAGAAACAAAGATTCTAAGATGGTTTGTAGTTTAAATTGTAATAAGTGCGGATTTTTTCTTGTTTTGTAAAGTTACTTTCATTTAGTTTTGGATTCATTATAAACAAATTTATTTCGAATGTGTTATATATAATACACGAGACTGGCTTTCCTTACCTTGAGAAATGGGAAGAGGAAAAGTTCTTTGTTTGAGCGTATCGCAACTGTTGTTCGTAAAATTGTACTTCAGTAAAATTGATTTTTTTAAGTTTATGTTGAATGTAAGTTTATATTCAGTTTGTTATTTAAAATGTGGTGTAATTTTTATATGGAGTAATTTCTTTTTTTGTTCATGCATTGACAACCTGGCTATCTAATATATGGAATTATAGAATGATGAAAAAAGGAAATTTTTGATGAACATGAAAATTAAAAAAGGAATTGGAAATTCGTGAATGCTATTCTATAAGGGAAAGGGGAAGGGGGATTGTAAGCCTGCCGCGCGATTGTGTTTTCTTATAATAATGATATCAAGAAATATAAATAATATAATCAATAAAATTAATAGTTTCATGACGACAGCATATAGGATGCAAATAAGTTTTTTTTAATATTACAAATACGAACACATACGCTCTTTCAAATCTATTCCACTGAGCGCGTATGTGTATATGTATATGTAGCGAAGAATATGATGTCATTTATTATATTAATAATATTTGTTATATTAATATGATGGAAATTGAATATAAAAAAGCTCACATTAATCAATTAAACCCACAAAAAGAATTTAATTTTAATATTTACCTACATTTTATTTCAGTTCTTCTAAGTAGACTTTTGTGTCGTATTTTAAATTTATGAAATCGTAAATTCGTTTATAGATCTAAAATTTTGTACCAAAAACATAATTCATTTAGTTTTAATAACAACTGTTTCATTACATGTATGTTTTGTAGTAACAATTTAAATTGTGGCTTAGATTTAGATGATGCGCTTATACTTGTCAAAATTAAAATATGTGTCAGAATTGGCTATATTGTAAAATAAAATATATAATAAAATTAGTGACACTAAAATTAATAGGATGAGGCTAATTTGAAAAAATGCCTCTAATCTTAAACAAAATTAATGACAATGAATAAGAATAATCTTGCCCCTTGTAGGAATCGAGACCCCGATCCCAGATGAGGAAGTCAGATACGTTGGCGACTGCGCCACGGAGTCATCAATTTGAGAAATATAACATTTTTACTAACAGAAAAGTGATATATTTTTTTAAATCGGTCAAGTGCGAGGGTCTTAACGAGGGTGGTAATAATATTAAAAATGCAACCAAATTGAGAACCTCGTTTATCGAGTGTTTTGCATTCTGTTTAAAATGTTTTCCTTTAAAGCATCCTTGATGATGTGTTGAAACTAAAGTAACTATTTCGTATCCTTTACAGCTTTAATGGAATTGGGTATATTGCCACGTGTTATCTTAATATGAGGAAAAACTTATTTATTGATATATATTACACAGTATTCACTGTCGAGTTTCCCTAAACTGTATGAAAATACGCGCACGGGGTGGCCTGGGTTAAATTGCAGATAGTTTAGTGGATTGTAGAAAAGCTTTTAGGCGGGCGGTCGAGGTGTGCTTACAGTGCTGCCATAATCCTGTTATATTAATGGAACATCGACCATGAGCATACTGCGCGTGTAACGGAGAGTCATTTGCACATTTTTAATGTAATTTACTTTAACTTGTTCTCACGTTTTTGAATTTGGTTTTCTTTGTTTAAGAGTTCCAATAAGTAATCCGTGTCCGTTCTGTCCGCATAAATTTGTAATATCATGAGGTTTATAATATTATAACTTTATAGTATTATATAACATGTCACTATTAATAAAATAGTAATATTTATATTTCATTCAAATGAAGAGCTTCTTGTTTTTCTTAAGAGTTTCATTTATTGATATTATTGATTATAAAAATTATTTTGATATCGTTTAACAATGCTGCTGGTATTTGCCTCTACCCCTGATCTTGAGACGTCCCATTAAAATGCCGTTATGGCGCATTTATTAAATTTACGAGTGTTATCAAGAACGTGAAGGTTTTGATATTAAAATCAAATCAGGTTCAAATTTACTGTAGAGTAGAGTGGCGTAAATCTTGACCACTAATCTTTAAGATGAGACACTGGCACACATGTTCGAAGTTTAAAATGGCACCCCAGGTTTACATTTTTTGAAATCATCTGTAATATATATATATATATCGAATTGCCAAAAGGCAATTTAAAAAAAAAATCATTTTGCTATTTACAATAAAACTTGGGATTCGATGTAGTCTATAGTGTCATTAAATCGCGACCATTTGGGTATCTGTGGCAAATTATTGGCAAACTAAGCTTTTTTGCGTGGTTTTAAGGTAGTTGTATACTGGACACTTATTTGTTTATTAGTATTATTAGATTCAATTTTCCACTAACATTCCGAATTGCTATATAAATATGTATTATATTACATGTACCCTTAAAGACTTAGGGTATTTTATGGTTTAGTGACACAATTCGAATAACATTTGCACTTTTATTAATATAACCCTTTTACACAAAAATATCAAACTTCTCGAAATATAGGATATTTTTATTTATAGTACTAATCTGTGCTCAAGATGTATTTTAAATGTGAGTTAATTTATTAATCTCCGGCGTGGCCGCGTTATATTAAATTCGAATACTTTGCGGGGTTAATGGTTTTGGGACGGATCTGACAATGAATACTGTATTTTTATTTGATGTGATTGGCAAGCCAAGTTGTTCACCTGTTCAAACGTCACCCTTACATTATGTATTACACAGTTACATTATGCTTTGTTTTTGGGGAGTTTTGCAAACATAAGTTTCACGTGGACATACATTCAAATCCGAAACAATTATCTGTGGGTCACACACAAATACTTCTCCAAGTTGTGAGAATTGCGCCCACGACCGCGTGGAATCACTACAAATGCGTCACAGATTCAACAATTTATAAACTGGTTTCTTTGTTTATTTTTATAGAATATAATACTGAAATAGGATAGATGAAGACTTCAATTAGTCTAAATTATGAAAACGAATTATATAATAGGGATGAAAGCCTTTACAGGAGCATTTTTGATAAACACTGCTAAAAGCTTTCTGTTCTGATATTAATGGATTTGCTCTACATAATCTTTACTGATATTATTCCTCCTTCCTTTTTATTAATCCTCTTTTCTTTTCCCGTCAAATTGCTCTTAATGAGTTTATTAAGTGTTAATAAATTGAAGCGACTCATTACTCAAGCAACTCCCTTATGTGTAGTAAAAATATCAGCAAAATATTGTGGTAAATGGGGTGTATGAGTTAAATTATGAACGACACTAGGAAGTTTTTAAATTTGCTTTAATGGAGTAGCCAAATAGAGTTAAGTTAGCGTGATAAGTTGACCCACTTTAGAAAAAGGTTTGTTTGTGATATGTGTGGTAATAAATGTCAGCATAATTATTACTAACGAAAAATAAAGAGAAGTTCTGTACTATTTATAGTGAAGTATTTGTTTATCAAACCGTTTAATGTAAAAACTTACGCAGAGGTCAACAAACAAAATAAAAAGCGCAAGAATTTCAAACATATTTTCGTTTTAACACTTTAAACAAAACCGTGAACAGATTTCCAAGGAAAGGCAACGCGATATGACAGAAATTCTTTGGTCCTATTGACAGCCAGTTTGAACAACCGAAACATTTTTGGAATGAACGAATGCGTCACGGCCAACAAAGGCGGGAATAAGCGCGGAGTGTCGCAGCCACGGACGACATGTTGAAAATTTTGAACGCTTCGGAATAAAAAATAATGCTGCATTGTGTAGGTTTCTGACTCTTGTTACGTCAACAAAGATTGCGTACTGTTTCTCTCTGCAAAATTGCATTCTGTTTGTTTAAACACAGCTTGTGTTAAAATTGAAGTCGTCCATTTAATTTTATTAAAAGTCGATGTTAAAAATATTATATAACGTCAAATTAGTCGTTATTATCGAATACTAAGGTTTTGTCATACAATTTTTTCTTTAAACGGACAAAGATTTTTTTTGAAAATTTTGATGTTTTAAGTATTGATTTTTGTCATGAATAATTCGGGTACTTCCACTACTGCACGGATTTTATGAACCTTAAAAAAGGTCTTCTTATAAATAGACGAGTTTTATATATAAATGTTTGATCGTAATAATAAATAGATATCGATCAGGTTGCGGCTCGGGTCTTCCCGATTTAGATCTAGTGCACTCTCGTATAGGTTCAGAGCAACGATGACTATTCTTGTATATTTAAACAAAGGTATAATGCTTAGATAATTGGTAGGGACCTCTACTGTGCTTAATAGTAAGTAATTAAAAAACTGATGTCACATGAAGCGAAGTAATTGAATATAGATGTATTATTTGTGAATCGATATTGATTAATTTTATTAATGAATTGCTTAGTGCTGCCTATATATATATGCATTTATATATATGCAACCTTATATGAAGAGTAGGTATGTTTCATATTTACTGACTGCAAATATGTTTGCCAAGTGGACCATGATGCACACTGTCAATTGGAAGACATAAAAATTATGAAAAATAAAACACGGCTATATAACTAATCCCTCATCTATTACGCTGAAAAGAATGACAGTCTTTACTAGAACGTTAAAATTTAACTATTTGGTAAAGGAATATATCAGGCTAATACAAAACCGATAAAATAGCATAGTTTAATTTGTTAAGGTTTACTTGTTGGTTGTGTAATGTAATTATTCTCTCACACTAACAATATATCAGAATAACAATATATGTATATAAAATAATTAACGATTAAATTCTTTTAGGGGTGTGTGTGTTTTAAGCCCGTAGTTAAAAAGTAAGAACAAATTGATCTAACTTGAACAATGTTAAAAAACCGACCAAGTGCGAGTCGAACTCGGGAACGAAGGGTTCCGTACCATTATCTACAAAAACGGCAAAAAATCACGTACGTTGTATGGGAGCGGCACTTAAATATTTTCATTATTCTGTCATTACTCCCGTTTTATGCTTTGTGTACGGAATCCTAAAAAAGGTAAAACGAAAAAGGTTCTTAAAAGCGTTAACATTTTAAACACGTTGTTTAATTGTAATTTTACCACCGGCATATGTGTTGCTACTCGTATTCATTCGGTAAATGGTTAAAATTTACGTTCCACGCTGCAGTTAAAAACAACTGTTCCAGTTTTTTTCAATGGTCCTAAGGTATGAGTTGCGCCGGCAACACTGATGTTATTTATGTCGTGTCGTAATCGTGTTGTAAATGTTTGGATAGATCTTTAACGGATTTTAGATATATTTTTAACGACCAGCCGCCTGACCCTCCTTGGTAATGAACCCCTTGATCCGGAACAATTATCTGTCAAACAAATTACTTGTCCCCTGTAGGAATTGAAAGCACGAGCCCCGGCGTCGAAGCCTTTAGCTTGCTATCTACGACGCTAATATGAAGTTATCATGACACTATCATAATTATATTGAAAAAAAAAAAAACAAATGGTAAATTAAACTTAGGTCCATTTTTACATATAATATATATTTTCAGGGTCCATGCATTGACACCTAATACATATATAAACAATTTACTTTTCTGTTAGGCCTAGTTACTTCCGTGGTGTAGTTAGTTTATTCGCAGCAGGGTCGTTTTTCAGTTTAACTAATTACGCACTTTTATTGCTTTAATACATTGACAGCTCCATGAGTGATTTCTAGTTTTTAAAACAAAATTGATAGTGTGATCAATATATTTTTTAACATTTTAATCAGATATTTGCATCCCATGTGATGTGGATGATTCCTATTTTTTAAATCAATATCCATATAGAGTTAATTTTTTTTAAAGGTTTTAATGCCTTTGTGTTGTTATTCACGCGGCGTCTATTGCCACTTGCTGTGGATGATTCCTAGTTTTTAATACGATAATGGAGTTTATTTCTTCATAATGGTTTTAATTAAAGATTTTAGTGTTATTGTATTGTTATTCACGCGTTGTCTGTCATCAGGTGCGGGGCGGTGAGCGGAGGCACCCACTGGCAATATGGCCGCGCCCACCAGCTGATAGCATGCGGGCGGCGGCGCGCCGGCCCGCCCCGACCTAGCCGATCGCAACACGAGCGCCACATTCACGGGTACCAATCTTTCTGTCAAGTATAATTCACACTAGAACGGTCTTGTTGGCGAACGTGCCTAGGAATCTAATTATTTCATAATCTAGTCTTAAACTTTTGACTGGAACATATACAGTTTGCAACCCGTCGCACGAGTCCACTTTGCCCGTGTTAATCATCGACGAAAATATACGCCATATATTACATTAAAAATGACTACGATGGTCAAAGATACTCATTAAAGCTGAATGAACGAATGGTCTTGAGTCTAGGATGAATCCGTTTCCTGTTCCATACAGTGTGCATCATACTTTTAAATAATAATCAATGAAGATACAAATGGAATTATTTGCAAAAATTTTGTTGTAAATCAGTAATAATCAAGCAGTCATTTCAAGAATTGTTTTTAAGCAGCGGTTTAAGTGCAATGAGGGAATATTTTACTCTGCGTTAGCGCTTTATTTGCGTTAGTAGCAATTTTTCAATCAGGTTGGATGCACTTTTCATTATTTTCTTCTTTAAAAATTTGTTGAGTTTTTGGTTCGTGTCGAATATCACAAATAGGAGAAACAAAAAAGTCTAGGGTAAAAGTATGTGAAAGATTTGATCTTTGAGGTATGTTTAATGCCTGTAGATAGACCTTGGATGACCTTCAACATATTTCTTTTCTTTAAATGCTCAAATATTCATACTTCCTCTGATTATATTTCCTTCTACCGCGAAAACAATATCTTGGCATTTGTTATTAGATAAATAATCATTTAATTATAATTTCATATGAAATAGTTTTATTTGTTCTAGTATTGTGTACCATATAAAAAATGAGTTTTCGTTACATACATCTCACTACATAATATATAAGATAAATAGAAGTATACAACGAGAGTAACAAAACGTTTATCGAAGAATAGTGTGCTTTGCTTTTATTGAACAAGCAACACAAAGAAACGCTCTCTGTTAAAGTTCTTTAGCCTTTTTTATTCAGTTCGATCTATCGGAAAGCTTTGTAAGTTTATTTGTCCCCGGAGTTAGTATTTTAAATGTCTGCAGGAGATGAATTACATTTAAAGTTGCTTGACTTTCGTCTTTGTTAAAATATTGAGGATTTATCATTTTATTTGATTCTTTCTTTTTCAAATGTTTGAATTACTCAATATTAATATCATTATGTTTGTACACAACTAAATTAAACCCTTCTTTCTTAATCACCATCCAGGATAAAAAGATAAAGGAGATAAAAACTAAATTTAATTTCATTTTGTGATTAATTTTTAGTTATCGATTACTAATTATTTTATTACTAGGTGCAAAGGTTTTTCTGTATGTCATATCTTCCTTTAAACTTTATCATATTTAATGATTGATATGACGGACGATTTTCACACTAAAACAATATGTTTTTTCACAACAAACATTATTTCTCTTCTTCAAAATCATGTTTTTAGAGTTGCATTAATTTTAGGCATATAGTTTGTAACATTGGTAAACTTAAAACAATAGAATGCATTAATTCAGTGCAACATTAATGTCGTAATAGTTGTATCTCTGTATCGTGTCGTGTGGTTGAGTTACATTTTGTTTGTGGTAGGGCCACGCAATAGCCTCGGCTGTTGCACGAATGGGTAGGCTCGTCCGGGTAAGTACCACAACCTCACAGAAGAGCGGCGTGAAGTGGAAGTATAATACTTTCTCGTTTCTTGTGGTGAGTGAGGTAGCCGGAGCTCAATTTTTAAGTTTGTCTACGTGTAGCAGATATCCATAGGCGGTGATGTTCATTTAATATCAGGTGAACCACATGCTCGCTTGGCAACTTTTCACATAACAAAAAAAAAAACTGTGCTAAAATCCATGCCGACAACAGTAAAATTGTTGAACAGTTAGAGTGGGGGAGGAAAAATATTTGTAGTGCGAAATAATAATACAAAAATAATAAATAAAATAAAATAATAATACAAAAATACGTACGCCAGCACTGTTACCAGTTTCCAGGCGCTTTTAATTCAATTTACTCGAGAGCAACCCAAGTTCAATTTCAGTTTCGACACTAATGAAATTATTATTTTTTTTCTGATTTATCACGTACTCAACGAAAAAGGAAAAGGATAATAGAAAAAAATTTTATGACGATGTTTTAGAATTTGATTTCCGCCAACTCGCGGTAGAAGCGCTTAGTGAACTATGCCTACATACCCTTTGTATAAAGGAGGCCTTTGCTCTGGGGACATGTGCAGGATGTTGCTTTAAGATATCATTCATATATACCTAATACTGTCTCTTAAAACGAATATAGCAGTGGAAATAAACATGTCACCTCCTAAATACTTATTATTGTTATTAAAATTTTGAGCCAATTACTGGTTAAATATTATTGAATATTATGAGTTTTTAATATTAAAGACCAAAGAAAATAATGTTTTCACTTTGAGATGAGATGAAAGTAGTTATTTTATGCAACAGTGGAAAGCGAGCTATGATATCATTTAAAAGGCAAATTTGTTCAATTAAAACGGCTTTATTAATAATTTCTTCCCAAAGCCCTTGATTCGAATTTTTAAGTGAGGGTTTACTTCACTAATTGGGATTTGAACCGTTTCATAAGGAAGCAATCATTATCTTAGATGAAATATAATAAATAAATTTTATAATATTTATGAGAAATTAAAAAGTACATCTTGTTTAAATTTTCACAAATATTATGCTCATATCAATATTTCAATAAAGGAATAGGATTTAATCTCAAGTTGTTTTTTTTTACATTTTCCCGTAAGAAAAAATTGTACCTAGTGTAGCTGCGGACATTTTATGTGACTATTTTCCGTAGACTGTGGTAGCTTTCGTAGACCAAAGGTTTTTATCTCTATATGTCATATCTTCCTTTAAATTTTATCATATTTAATGATTGATATGATCGACGATGGTCACACTAAAACAATATGTTTTTTCACAACAAAAGTGTGTATTTTAGAACAAAGGTAATATTTATTTCTCCTCTTCAAAATCATGTTTTTAGAGTCGAAGAGTTGCATTAATTCATGACATACAGTTTGTGTCATTGGTATACCTAAAACAATAGAATGCATTAATTCAGTGCAGCATTAATGTCGTTATGGTTGTATCGCTGTATTGTGTCGTGTAGTTGAGTTTTATTGTTTGTGGTACGGCCATACCACAGCTTCGGCTATTGTACGGGCGTCCGGGGTAGTACCACGGCGGCACAGAAGACCAGCGTGAAGTGGAAGTATTAAACTTTCGTGTTTGGTCTGTTAGTGGGGTAACCTGGAGCCACTTTTTTAAAAGTTATCGACGCATCTTCAAAATCTCCGGTGTTGTAGATGTCCTTGGGCGGCGGTATTCACTTAACATTACGTGAACCGCCTGCTCGCTTGAAAACTCGTTTCTCATAGAACAAAAAGACTAAACTTGTGAAATTTACTGACTAAACTGACTAAAATTATATAATACTAGCTTTTCGCCCGCGGCTTCGCTCGTGTTGAGGCCCGCGTTAAATAAATACCTATCCCCTTTAAGAACTCTTTATAACCCTCTTTCCAATAAAAAAATAGCCTATGTCCTTTCTCAGGCTCTATACTATCTGTGTACCAAATTACATTTAAATCGGTTCAGTAGTTTTGGTGTGTAAGCGAGCTAGACAGACAGAGTTACTTTTGCATTTATAATATTATGGATTTAAACATTTTCTATGTCGCATCTCTTACTTATTACAATAATAATTGAAAAACATTTACGTTTAAAAATAATTGTGCTCTTGACGGAAGGATTGATTGTTCTAATTCCAAAACTTAGTTATAAGGGTCGAACATATTTAATTATATCAAGAAAACTTAGTTACAAACCGATATTCTTCATTTCTGCGGGGCTTTACGAGGAATATAACTTTGATTAATACGGTAAAATAACTTTTCCCTCCTACTTAATAAAATCAATAAACTTTTCACATTATGTTTGATTAAGCGTGGAACAAGGGCACAAATTAATGTAGATACCACCCTATTTTGCAATACAAGTAAGCGTTTTTCGGAATCCATACGTACAAAAATCAATGTCTTATGTTTGTCCTATATAGGATATTGTTGTCCTATATAGATAGGAAAAGATATCAGTGTCAGGGTCAAAGTTCTTGAGTGGCACTATGTTTTCATAAAATGTTTATCTTTATTTCACTTACAGTAAGGAAACGTTTTTTTTATTTTTTTTGAAAAAACATTGCATTTTTGATAACATTATCCTGTGTTGTAAGGACGTAAATAAACCTTCAAAACAAATAAAGTAACATGTCTATGTTATTTATATATTTATGTTTGTTAATTTCCATATGGTGTACAATGTCGGTTGTGCCAAATAACTGTTCAGCACCATCCTCTTACACTTACCGGACATAAATGGATTCGGTACACAATGTGAACGCTAGGTTTTATATAACCGGCCACCCGCCTGACATTCAGCCTCCTGGTCTGGGTATTTGTAGGTCACTGAACTATTTGACTTGTGAATTCGAACCTGAGGCCCAGCACAAGTTAATTACTTAGCAACTGCGCCACTGAGTCGCCTGCCAATTAAAATCTTTTGGGATTCGACTCGATTTTGGATTATGTTTACATCTAACGTTACGAGGGTGTCAAAATTAAAAAAAAAAGATGAAAATCTCCTTTAAAATTAAGTTAACAAGTCGTGAAGACTTAAGTTATCCACCGTTATTGTTAATACTCCTAATGAAATGACCTTCGACCTAATTAGTAACGTGCTCGACAGGTTCGTAAAATGGCCTTCCCTAAAAAGTTTCAAACGGTCCCTCGATGACCAGCTGGGAAAGCGCAATTTTAAACTGAGAGACATAATACAAAAAGTTTGTGCGCCCGCCACCGGAGACACGGCGGAGTTATTTAGGATCCGATGGAGCGCTTAAATAACTCATTTTATTATTTAAACCACAAGTTCTGCGTCCTAACTGGTTGACGCTTTAGTTATGTATATTAAATGCGCTTGCTTAGCAATCGTATATT